AAATGACTACATTTTTCATTTTTCCATGGGGACTTGGGCAATTGTTTGCATCTGCAAGGCACTAAATCAACCAGTGCTTCCTTTGATTTGTTAACCTTTGTTTGGCCGTGTCAGTAGATGAGGCATGGCTGAAGTGGCTGCTTTCATGGCCACACTGTAAGACGCAGCCTGGGTGATTGTAGCTGTACTCACTGGGGGGAGGGAGCTTCCCTCTGTGCAGCACAGGATATTGAGCTTCCTTTTTAGCCCTTCCAGCTGTGCATTAAATGCTCCTGGCTGGGTGATGGGTTACCAACAGGAGCAGAGATCACAGGTGAAACGCCTTCAGTCCGTTTCACTTGTGCATCCCTCAGAGTTAAATCTTTCAGAGCGCCATATTATTTCTCCAAACAGGCATGCTTATTAAATATCAAAAGAGAGCTCTGATTTGAATTACAGTTGTGTCTGAGCCAAAGCAGGAACAATGCTTTAGTCTAGAGGGATCGGGCAGCAACCTCTCGGTGACCTCGCGCCCCCCGGCAGAGAAAGAGCTCATCCTCGACTGCGGCCGTTTCTCAGAATGCACAAAAGGCCAGCGGTGGTCAGGTCATCTTTCCACCGCGCATCAGGTCAAGTTCCAGAGGCAGCCCTGCTTTCTGGACACCAAAACCCACACAGACGGCAGAGGTCAGCGTGAGGGCGGCGCAGGCAGCCCGGGGCAGTAAACCAACACTGGTGCTGCAAAAGGCCAACCTTCTCTTTCCAGTCGAGTGAATGAGTTAGGGAGCTGCCTGGGTGATTTGTGGCGTGATTGTTGCTCTCTATATCACTTGAGATTACAGCAGGTGGTGGCCCACAGCCTAGAAGTACACACAGCTATATCACCAGTCCTCCTCTCAGGAAACGCCGAGAGAATGAGGCAGGGAGAAAAACAAGCCCTCGGCTGCCTCCCACACAGCAGTAATATGCTCACAGGCAATTCTGCTGCCAGCAGAGCTCTCTATGACAATCCAGGGAGCTCTTCAGCTCTGATATCTGCCACAAAAGTTCACCTCCGCTTCTCTCTTTCCACTATTTTTTTAAACAATGCCATCAGCGCTGCAAATTACACCTTCCACATCGCACATTATTCTCTCCCCCGGTGACAGACGTACTCAAGCCTGACACACTTCACTAGCGCCGCTCTTCACAGTGGCGTCAGCCCCGGGTCTCGCTGTAGCACCGCTTCATTTTCACATTAACTCCAGTAAAGCGTGGTGAAATCAGCGTTGTGCTGAGGGGGGGAAACTGAGAATCACTCCACTGTGCACTTCAATTCACCCCCGCACTGAACTTGGTCTCACATCGCAGACGCAGCTGCAGGAGATATCTCACGAGGGACGAGCTTCTCCAATATATCTACCAGATGAAATTTTTGGGAAAAAAAGGAAAAGAAAAAGGGGAGAGCTGCTCTGCTGCACCCTTAACTGAAAGGCCACGATGAAGTCATTGCTGACACTAACGGTATTTTAAAGGAGACACAGGTGAGAGCCAAATACATTTCTTTATTACTGCGCGTTTAATATCAGATTTTTTTACACTTCCAACAGGAAACGCAGATTCTGTTCTCAGTAGATTTGAACAATTCACCCACGAGAACATTCTCAGGCCACCTGATTAAAATGGGACTGCGGACCTTTTTAAATGTCATCCAGCACTGCTTTAATCTGGCTGCCGGCTGCACTCGGCAAACAAGGCAGTGCGAGCTCAGGCTGGGCTCTCCGATGACAAACTTAGCCGCGTTTCTCTGACAGGCTGTCGATTGACGGTATCATAAAAGATGGGAATGTAACCAAGTGACAAGATATCATTGCCCTGGGAGACAGCTTTAATCATGTGATAGATCTGTCTGCAGACCTTTGTGGTGACATGCTATGCTGCTTTGTCATCATCAGTATGTGTTCAAGCCAGCACTTCAATCCACTCCCTGGAAAGCAGTCAGAGGTTTAATAAAACTCTGCTTTCCACCCACGGCACCTTGGAAGCAGCTTAGACTTTACAAAACTTGTTTATTTCACTGGCGGCCGCTGCTTTCTCGCTGCGGCCAATCCTCCTGCAGAGCACACCAATCAGGTTAACGGACACCTGCAGGTGCACTGACGACCGTGGTAATTAGAGACAACGGTTAATGAAATCCATTCATGAGCAGAAGTGCGCCCAGGACGAGGAGAACCGCAGAGAGCGACGTACAGCTGACGCCGACAGCCTCGAGGTGAAGCCGCACGAAGAGGGAAGAAAATAAATCAACGTCTGAAAACACAAAAGACGCATTTTCATCAGTTGGATTTTCTTTTCAAAATGCAGCGTATGCCTCAGGCTTTAGAGGGAACACAGAAAACACACTGTAATTATCGAGTAGGTGAGAAGGCTGTTAGATTAAAAGATGAGGGACCAGCACTGAGCCTTCAAAGAGACCCGAGCTCGCCCTGGGCTGATTTCCAGTCTTGCGGCAGTAGAAGGAAAACACACACACACACACACACACACACAAACACCAGCCAAAAGTCAGTCATTACCAAAGCTGCACATCAGCAGCAGAATTACAATGGCCTTTTTTTCACTTTGTTATTTGAAGGATTATTAGCTTTATTCCAATGAGTCACAAGATTATTAACAACCTCAAAACGAACATTCGGTGCATAAACTGCAGAGAAACGCTGTAACAACACTGTAACAACACTGTAACAACACTGTGTCACAGAAACACTGTAACAACACTGTGTCACTGAAACGCTGTAACAACACTGTGTCACAGAAACACTGTAACAACACTGTGTCACAGAAACTGTAACAACACTGTGTCACAAACATACAACACTGTGTCACAGAAACACTGTAACAACACTGTGTCAAACACTGTAACAACACTGTAACAACACTGTGTCACAGAAACACTGTAACAACACTGTGTCACAGAAACGCTGTAACAACACTGTGTCACAGAAACACTGTAACAACACTGTGTCACAGAAACGCTGTAACAACACTGTGTCACAGAAACACTGTAACAACACTGTGTCACAGAAACGCTGTAACAACACTGTAACAACACTGTGTCACAGAAACACCGTAACAACACTGTGTCACAGAAACGCTGTAACAACACTGTGTCACAGAAACGCTGTAACAACACTGTAACAACACTGTGTCACAGAAACGCTGTAACAACACTGTAACAACACTGTGTCACAGAAACCTGTAACAACACTGTGTCACAGAAACGCTGTAACAACACTGTAACAACACTGTGTCACAGAAACGCTGTAACAACACTGTAACAACACTGTGCACAGAAACGCTGTAACAACACTGTGTCACAGAAACGTGTAACAACACTGTAACAACACTGTGTCACTAGAAACGCTTACAACATGTAACAACACTGTGTCACAGAAACGCTGTAACAACACTGTGTCACAGAAACGCTGTAACAACACTGTGTCACAGAAACAGCAAGCTAGTAGAAAATCAGCATAAAGGGATTTTTTTCACTTCGTGATCTGCTGTGGAGTTTAAAATCTACAGTATGTTTGATATGTTCACGTATTGAATATTCGAGTAGAATAAACATGTTATGACCATTTCTTCACTGAGGAGCTTCGTGACAAATAAGGCCTTGCTTTGCTTTATGATGAACTGGTCGGCCTTTAGGGGTTACGCCCGACTTTGTCCAAAAGTGCAAAAAGAAATATGATGTATGAAGAAAGCGCACCAACTGTCAAACAAATGGAGACTTTTTGCACCTGCCTTTGAGCAAATATTGACACTCATCATCCCACAAACGAGTACTCTCTCGCTCTCTCACACACAGACACACACACACACACTATTTTTGATGGAGCTGTTGCCTGTCCAGAGGTTTGCTGCATTAGCGTGCTGGTAATCCCCTCCAACAAAAACCCACCCGACTCTTTTAATCTCAACACTACCCTCAATAAAAATACCAGTGGTCTCTGCTCTCTCTGCACCTGGATTCTTTTACTCGTCTTTTGCAATTGTCTCAGGCATTAGCATATGGCAGGACTGGATGACAGGGGACTGAGGTGGTAAAAGAGAAGAAAACAGGGCATATTTAAATGGAAATAGGGGCCAAGAGAGTGGGCTATGATGGAGCAGAGAGAAAGCAGATTTTGTGTACTGTTTCCCCAGTCAGATCCTTTCATGGTAGGGGAGAGAGGGTGGCCCTCTGTTGATTTAGGCTGCACAAAGGAGGCCTTAATCCTTTCAAGGGAACCAAATCAGTCTGCAGAGAAGCTTCTTGTCAAGCACGGCCATTGAACACTCCAATGGATGCCACAAATCAAGACCGGGAGGGAATCAAAGGCCAGAATATGGGAAGTGTGTATGGAGGTCTGGAACAAGAATTAAGGGTGGGGGGTTGGGGCTACAAGGACCTATCCCAACTATCTCACCCATTTCTACCAAAGCCCCGAAGGGGTCATAACCTTGGTCTCTTAGCCTCCCTCTCGCCCCGCGTGGTAACTCCCCTCCATTACAGAGGAATGTCCTTTCATGGGGGCACCTCCATTATCCCTGAGCCAGAGAAAATGGGGCTGCTTTTAACAGCAAATTAGTGACTTGATAATGAGGTCACATGTGGTGTTGGCACACTGAGGCCATAAACAGATGCCTTTCCAGCATTAGTACATCCTCCTCCTGCTCTGGCTTCAGCAAGGGTCCCGGTGCATTTCAGCACATTTGAAACAAAGGCTCACCAAAATGCTCACACAGCCTCACAGCGTCACACACCGACGCAGAGAAATATTTTCACATTAGACGATAACTGTTTGACTCATCGTGTACGGCGACGTTACATACAGATGCACCCTGGGTAAACTGCTATTGTTTGAAATGCTCACAAATAGGAAATATGTGAAATATGAAGAGAACACCGCACGGAGACAAAGTACACAAATGTCAACGTGGCGATATCTGCAGAAACTGCAATGGTGACAACACATCATAGGAACAGAAATGCATACCTTTAACTGCAGCTGTGCTGAAAAATTTCTCGGAGCTGGCATCGGAGACCTGGAAAAAAAGAGATGAAAACATCACATTCAGCATAGAGTTAAAATTCCCCAGGATGACACTGGAACAAAGCGACTTTGGTTCTTTTCTCCTCCACCAAACTTTGCAGACTAACTCCTTTATGACATTTTTAGAGATGATGTACAGCAATGCCTGTGCTCACCGAGAGAACAAAACACACATGACACTCACAGCAGTCACTAAAACATAAAGCAAACTCTGGTCTTAAATTAGCAGAAGTTTTTTTTTTTTTTTAATATACAATTCTGTAAATGTGTTGCTGGGCTGTGTGCTGCAGTTTTACTGGCACGCATGCAGTCATTGTCAGGGCACGTGTGTGCATGCCGCTTTCCCCAAATCCCGTCCATAATTATCAGGACAGCTTGAGTATCGTGATCAAAACCAACACTGGGCATCAGACTGAAACAAAACAAGTGGGACTTCTTATTCTGGCCACTTGATGGCACTGTTGCTCCGTGCCAATTTGTTTTTAAAGCCTCACGATTCCTCCAAGCGTCTCGGGCAGCAGCGCTCCGACACCATCAGCGTGCTAGAATAACATGTGCGGTGATGGGATTTAATCCTGAATTAGACAACAAAAGCCACGCGTAGTTTTTAAAACAGGTCACGCTTAAACTATATTTCAAACACTGATTTTGACACATTTCACATCACCACAAAATGCCACAAAACGCACGCAGTGAAGACAGGAAAGAAACGGAACAACACCCGTTGAGCCCCATGTGAAGACGGACTGACAGCTTTCTCTGAATAAAACCAATTTCTAATAACTGGCTTTGTGGACTCACTCGCTTTGGTTTGGTTTAATGCTAAAAATGTGAATTCCGGAAGATTACATTTTAAGAGCAGTGCTTTGTTTTCTTCTTGACATATTCGAAATCTGCGGCCAGTCACAGCTTAGTTAGCACTTGTGTCTTTTATTTTCACCTTAAGCACGGCAATAAATTCAAAATAATAGGAAATGCTGCTCGTGAGAAAGACATTTTTTATTATTAAAATCATACACTTGTGTTTTTCACTAATGCAGCACGGACAGGATGTAAACAATGAAAGCTGCAGGATAAATGGCAACACACAGACCGTTTTCTTTGCACGCTTTAAAAAAAGTCTTCCTCACGTTATTTTGCACATTACCACACACAATGACAAACACGTCGTGGATTAAGAAGCGGCTCCGAGCCAGCGCGCATACCTTCGATGTGGCAAGGGTAGCAAGGAGTCAGGATATTACTTTTCTCGGTCTGGTAAATATGGCCTCGTCTCACATTCTGCTTTTCAAATAGTATAATCCATACAAGAGGCAGCGAAGTCTACTCCGTTTAAACTGAAGACAGCCATGCGAAAAGAGAAGAAGCCTTTCCAAGAAAAAAAATCCAAAGCCGTTCACAAAGCTACTGCGCCTTTTGGACAAAGAGAACCATGTGTCTCGCCACGGAGAGCTTTTGCATCAGCAATGAGACGAGAAGGGAGAAAAAATCCTTTGATCCACCTTCCTTTCCTGCTCGGGACTCAGTGTGTGTGCGTGTGTGATTTTTTCACGTATATTCTCCTGTCGGAAATATCCGTGAGAGGTAACAAACACGATCCTGGAGGGTTTGTGAGTCGGTGCGCAGAAAGGGGCTGCGTCCGATGGAGCAAACCAATCCAACAAAGCGCACGGCCACTTTTCTCCGTGGAGACAGAAACGCAGGGAAATCACACGAGCAGTGAGCAAAAATTCACTAGGTATAGACCCACTGTCGCGCTGGGTGCTCTGACAGATTCCGATCGTGGGCACGCTACAGCCTCTCCCCGTCCGCTCCTAAGCACCAGACAAACTCCCATTCATCCAGCAACTGCCTGCTTGTGTGCTGCTGCCTTAACGGTCGGGTCCTCCCACTTCCTGATTTCCAGGCGGTCTTGGATTCAACCACAGTAGTCCTCCTTCACAAGATAAATACACTTGTGTTTTTTGGGGGCTTCCGAAAAGCTTGAACCTTGATTGCAGAAGTGCACAGCGGCGCATTTACCTTTTGCGTAAATGGCGCGCAAAAGCTTAGACGGCAGCGCACCACAGAAAGATAAGGAGGTATAGAGAGAGAGAGAGAGAGAGAGAGAGAGAGAGAGAGAGAGAGAGGGAACAAGAGGGAAGAAGAGAAAGGCAAGAGGGAGGGGAGAGCCAGGGCAGAAAGATAGTCTGTCACTCTGTACAGAGCAAGATGATGTCAGCCGCTAATGAATTCCCCAGTAGGGTGCTGCTACCGGGAGGGGAGGAAAAACAAAACGCTCCTTTATGAGCAGCAAGCACCTCCTCGAAGCCCACAGGCGCTGTCTTCCTGTTGAATCAACTCCCACTCCACTGGCCTGAAGGGAGGTCAACTGGTAATATAAAAAGCACTTTGGGTCATTCAGCCTCCAATTTGAGTGCTGAGCTCTCCGTGGTCCACCCCGACCAGAAAGCTAACTAGCTTCCAGCCCTGAAACTACAGGAAGAAGCCGTGCCCACTGACTGTATGAGGCTCCTAGGCTATGTGAGGTTATTTGTTTGGCTGTCCAGGATAACAGAACATTGCACCTTCTAGTTGTTTCCATGTCCTGGTATGACAGCATGTGTATTCTGAAAGCATCATATTGATTTAGAGGAACACTATTCTGCAGGGTTCCCACTTCTGATCTGAGAAGCGATGGCGCTCATCCTTTTTTGCCAAAATCACACCAAATGAATCCGGACGGAAAGAAAATCCTCTTAATAGTGCGAGCGTTGCATCCTATGGCTTGTCTAATGAGCACTAACCCACTGGCTGGGAGGTCAGTGGATGTACAATAGAGCCACATTGCACAAGCTTTTGCTGCCAGCTCAGCCCGAGCAACCACAGAGCAGAAAACAGACTTAGCTCATAGCTGAGATGCTAATCCGTCCCTCGGTAACGGAGAGACGGAGGATCTGTTGGCTGGCTGGGATAGGCCATACAAACATCTAGTCATGGGAAATGGGATATACAGTGGCCTGAGATTTACAATGGCAAAACAAATCCTCACTTTGAGCTAACACAACAGCATTCCTCCAAACTGGAGTCAGATTCCCAGTCTGATTAAGCAGAACATTTCACATTTAGCAGAAGAGAAAGAAGTAAACACACACTTTGTGGGGATGTTTCTGGACACGGAACAAAGAATGTGAAGTACCATCAGGCAATGGGAGGGAGGTGACTGGGAAAAGTCCAGCCACTTGGTTCAGCTACAGAGGACAAATGCTCGGTCACAGAGGGCCTGGGAGAAAGACCAGACCATGTGTTCATCAAGTTAGAGGCTGCTGTTAAGCATCCTTGTGTATGCATTGTGCGCTGAACAGCTTTAACTAATGAAATAATAAACGTCTTGATTGCTGCTGCTCATAGGCTGGGAAAACATCTTTGATCGCTACGGTGAAATGATGTCGCTGTACGCCGCACACCCACGAGCTCTGTGTGGTTACATGTAATCAGATCACATGGATTCTTATGTTTAAAGCGGTGATTGTGAGGAAACATCAAGAGCGTTTTGTGGTTTGGCTTCGTGATATGTATTTATGTGACTGCCACTGACAGAAAATGGCTACCAGTCCTTTTCACAGGCCTGTGCGATGCAGCAGCAGCAGCTACGAACAAGCTGTTGTTCTCCATTCGAAATGGTCATTATCAGATGTGAGAGCGACCGCAAGTCTGTGATTACAGCCCCGCTGCCAAACAATCGGCCGGATCTCACATTATTTTTAATTCAAATGAAATGGACAGAGACAAACACACATTCAAATGAGAACTCTGCACAATTTCACATGAAAAAAAAATCTTCTGTGCAAGAGAATGAAGCACCGAGATCAAACGCAATGTCTGGATGAATGCTATGTATCTCAGTAATTGCTGTCTGGGCATGCAAGTTCTATCTATAGAGCATCAGCTTCAGCACTGACATTTTGTCATCTTTTATTCTGTTTTTTGGACGCTGATTCTCCACTTCAAAGAAGCCATGAACATGTTTGTCTCCCCCGCAAGCGTGGTTTAATTTTACAGGAACTCTCCTAGATTACAATCACAAGGGACTGGTTTGCCTTTATGAGCCTTCCTGCCATTACGCCAAACTACCCTCATTTAAAATATTACTGATAAGTGTAAGATGAGTGCTGCCAATGTAATATGTTAAAAGCTGTTACTACATTTGCCTGTTGGCTCCAAACTCTGTTGTTGCTTTGCAGTGCTCGTGCATTCAACCTGACACTGAACAGAGTCATCATCGTCATCATCAGAGGTGAACAGCATTCAGGTAGGTGGGTATTTCAGATGCAGTTTCACCACACACTCAAACCTCTGTCAGAACGCTGGAACCCTTTGGTGTAACTGTGTGTGTGCAGTCACGTGAAACTGAACCTTTTATGCATTGCTGTGTAAAACTAAATACACACACGCTGCCTCCAAACGGATTTCAGAGGGTAAACTGAAGCCAGGTGCTGACACTGTATAAGCACAAGTTTTGGAAGCTTGCTAGTCTGGAGCACGGAGGAACGACATTAGCAATGATCTTAAGGAAGCACCTGGTATAGCCCGACTCGAGCCCATCAGTCAACACTGACAGAGATTACTCACCAGCACAAAACATTCAAGACTCCTCTGTGCACCAAAGTGTGGTTGCACCTTAAGAAATAAATGTATAAACGAATGCCTGCAACCAGTTGTCCTAACATTCCTCCACAAACATGTGAGAAACTGATAAAGTCATCCAGGTGGTCCTAAAAGCCACTGGATCAGGTGGAAGCTCGCACTCTCTGAACAGAATACCAGAATGGGAGTGACCACCAGGTACAACCGAGTGTCTGTGGTGAGCCTGCACTGCAGTTAAATAAGAACAAAGTTAACTTCTGGACCAAATTAGAAACAAATAAAATCCCAGACGTTTTGCAAATACTGTGTAATCTGAATTTTAATGTAAGAATTACTGATGACATTTTCTGTTCTTCCTACAGGGAA